CGGGAGGGCCTTCTCTGTTTCTGCGCCGGCCCTGTGGAACGATCTACCTGCAGAGATCCGGACCCTTCCCACTCTCCCGGCTTTCCGTAAAGCCGTTAAGACCTGGGTGTTCCGGCAGGCCTGGGGCTGTTGATTGATATCCAGCCCCGTTTAGATGGAATGAATTTGAATACTGTATTTTTTATTTTCTTATTCTATTTTTAAATTCAAATGTTTCTTGTCTGTTGTGAGCCGCCCAGAGTCCCCTGGGAGTGGGTGGCATACAAATTCTAATAAACTTGAAACTTGAAACCCCTGGCACAGGCCATAACGTTGCTATTGTTGCCCCCAGTATTTTTAAAGTCGAAAGCTCCACTTTAGGAAACTCATTTTTACCTTTTTCAGTGCTGTTGGACGCTTCAACTTTGAGAGTTCTCTTTCTTTTCCTCGTTTCACTTTTGGGCTAGTGGAATCCAAAGGGTTAATGCAACCCACTGATGACTGCTGCCCTTTGGAGAAGGACTTTCGGCTGGGGGATTCTTTGGTGTGGAAAGGAACTGGACTGCCAACTGAAGACAAACCAAACCAAAAATGCTTGCAATGGCTGAATGGAGGCCGCTGGGCATTTCCCCAGTGGTTTACTCTCCTCCCACCTCCTCCCTTCTCATTGAAATGCCTTTTCCCTTCCCTGGAATTAAAAAACCAGATTACAACGGCAAGGAAATTATGCAGTGAGATGCTGCTGTTTGGAGATTATCTCTCGTTCCAAGAAAGTAATTATGGAGAAAGAATAGAAACAAGCTGAACACCAGGTTTATAAAGATAAGTAGTTATCTTTATGTCAATTCCTTTTGATAACTTCTAAAAAAAAACCCCTCACCAAGTGTCCCACAGCACCATCATTGGCTTGGTCAACACCACAGGATTTTTGGTCTACAAATCAAAATATCTGGAGTTGCACAATACCACAGAATTCTGCCTTAGTGCGATGCATGAACTCAAACCACAATTGCATCCCAAGGCTCAAAGAAACATTTTGCATGGAGAATAGTCAACTGTTTATCCATGGCGAAGGGATTTGGACTACAGCGGGGTGTCACACTGTACTTCTAAAGCAGGGATGTCAAACTCAAGGCCCAGGGGCTGGATCCGGCCCATGGGGTGCTTAGATCTGGCCTGCGGGGGGGTCGACCTAGAAACAGTGGAGTGGCCCGCAGTGCCTCGGCCAGTGAAAATGGAGCTTGGGAATGGCGCATGTGGTTCTCCCAAACTCCGTTTTCGCTGGGATGGGGTTTCAGGAGGCCGCCGCTGCTGAAAACAGAGCTTGGGCTCCTGTTTTCGCAGGCAGAGCACTCGGGCCAGCACAGACACACACCCCCCCCGACACAAGTGACGTCAAGGCAGTTGTGGGATTCAGCCGGTTCGTACCTATTTGGGAGAACCGGTTGGTACCTTTCCAGGCAGTCCGATTGTTGGAAGAAATCTCCTTTTGTTTTTCCCCACTTTGCAGGGCTAATCTTGTAAGAAAGGCAGGAAGGAAACATTCTGGTGTT